CAGCAGACGAAATGGATGCCATATCTGGTAGATGTGCACTGCGCTCTTCACTGCGCAGAAGGTGGGATGAACTATATGTGTAAAAAAGTAGCTATCACCGCATAGGGCGACTCCCACTCAATGCAACCTCGACAGAAGAACAAACAGAATATGTAGAAGGAAAAGAAAGGCACTCAAATGAGATTTAAGTAAAAGCCCTCCTAACTCTTCACAATTATCTCCCAAAAAAAGCAGACAACGGGAAAAAAAGGCACTGAGTACACTATCCTCTCCGCCATCGGGGTTGGATCATCAACCTTCTGATTGGACTACGATCACGACATCGATGCAAACACTCTTCAGGCCTAAGAGCAAACTTGCCGTTTTGGTTGAAGTGCGGGGGTCCCGTGACTGTTAGCTCGAGCACGTCAGTTTTCTTCGTCACGTTTTGAGGCCTTGGCGTCGGTGTTTGAATCGGTCACCGAGCTGAGGATCTGACAAGAAGGATCAGTCACCCTTATCGGGGTTCTGTCATTTGTGAAGCAGAGCTACTGTCAGGTTATCATATATCTAGTTTATGATACAGTAAATCGAAGGTCTAACAGTGGAATTCTCTTAACAGACCGAAACGCTAGGATTCTCGGCACTTTTTGTGGTTCGATACCGCTACCAAGGTGCCTCAGGCCAGTCTCTCGGGCGAGAGGTTGGTATCATATCAAAGGATCAGTATTAAATTAGGTACTGGACTGGATGACTAACCCCCCATGAATGCCATCGCTTTAGCAGATTGGGGCAATGAATAAGTTGAAGGTGGAAACCATCTCAAATGATGAGGATGAATTCTCAAGACGCCATATTAAATGCTAAATTCATATCGTTATGAAATATACAGGGCCTATACTCCTGAGCCATCCACAGCTGAGGGAACAAGCGTCCACCGGAGTCGATCCATGATTCCCTCTACTACCTGGTTCCACGTGTCAGCACCAATTACATCCGCATGCCATATCCGAGAAAACCTGACCCGAACGCCTCTTCCATTGAAGACATTCATAAAAAGCGAAGGGAGAAAGACATGAATCATCAAGCAGTCACCCAGAGCCCAAGTCCCGACCCAACCATGTTATGTAAGTCATTTCGGCTTATAAAATAAGTAACAAGAACAAAATAAGATCTCAACGGGTTTGAGCCAAGGATAAAAAGGGATTATCAACAGTGGCGAGCCTTGTCGAATTGAATACTATACAACGACAAGAGCGCAACGGTGGTCGGCCATGACCCCTAGGGGTCGCAGGGCCAGATGACATCGCGTGTCATTATATGAACAACGTATGGCGGCTGCTAGGCAGCAATATATGCTGGTAACCTGAGCAAATCACCGGCCGTCAGTCCAGTCATGCATCTTCAGATTCTCCGGGATCGGTTGCTGCAGTGCGGCGGCCTGAACTGTGGCTTGCGAGGGCTGTGGAGGCCCGGTGCCCGACCGGCGTCTTCTTTCTCGTTCCAAAGGACCAGGAAGCTCCTGGCCGCGAGCACGAAACTTGCGACCCATGGTGTCCAACCAGGCACCGTCCTCGTCTTCGCCCAGCCAGTAACTGCGACCAAGGCTAATCATAAAGCGGCCAAGCTTGCCCTGCCAGCCTTGACCATCAGGACTATATGGCGAGAACGGCTCCCGGTCAATATCAGCAACACTAGCAACACTAGCGACCGAGGTATTGCGGCTGTGTGTGGGGAGCTGCGTGTGGCGGGGGATTGCGATATAGAGACGTAATGTCTGGCGGGCGAAGGCGAGCATGACGAACACGAAGTAAATGCGGATAATCCATAGCAAGCAGATGAACACGATGCTTTGGAAACTCTCGGGCTGGGTGACGGCGTTGGTGAGGCCGTCCGGGCTTCGTGCAGAGTTTCCGTTGGTGGATGAGGAGCCGTATTTGGGGTTCGTGAAACCGGCGGTTTGGGACATTGTGTCGCTGCCCGGTCCCTTTGCGGACCCGTTATCATAGTGCTGTGAGATAACGAGGAACCATGTCACACCGAACGCAGCGGTGTATGCGGCATTGATGACTGTGTCGAAGAGGTAAAGCCAAGCGAGGGCGAGGCACTGCAGGGGTGACTGCTTCCGAATATACGGGAAGAGCAACGCTGTGAGACCGAGCGCGATAAGCGAATAGAGATACATAGAGAGCTGGACTGGCGACAGATGGTAGCCGGTCAGTAAGGCGAGCAGGCCATAGAGACCACTGATCTTGTTCAGCAGCAGGGAAAGTGTGATTAAAGAAGCGCCTGTCTCCAGGCTCATCACATAAAGAAAGGTCTATTAGGGTCATCGTTAATCAGCATTCGCACACTTGATAAACCAGTCGAAAGACGAATGGAAAGAGCTTTGCAGGTCCTTCATTTTGAGGTCATGCGATGAAAATTGACGTACCTCTGGCCGCGGCACGCGGAGGAAGCGGGTTGAAAACCCCATAATGGATGCCGCCGATGAGGTCGGTGAGGGAAACCGCTCGTGGCTCAAGGACGGCAGAAAGAGGAAAAGGAATGGAACGACAGAAGAAGATGATGGTAGAGCGACAAGTCGGATCGGATGAAGAGAATGAAAGATGGAGAACGAGGCTGGTGCTGGATTGTAGGAATGCCCAACCTAAGCGGCTGTTACACAGGGGTGGGCTTGATTTTCCGGACGATCCGCCCGCTGATCGCTGCCTTTTCGTATTCGTTTACCAGAGGTCAGGACAATTATTCAGAAGAGCAAAATGCAAATAATTCTGAGCCCTGAGAGTGGTAATGATGACGATGGCATCATTATTTTATTCTCATAATCGTAAGACTTTTCGATCTTACGATGTGGTAGATAGAATTGACGCTTCCATTTTCTTACAACCACATTATTTCAACGTCAGCTCCGGATGCATCTCTGCTGTTTTTAGCGGTACTCTGTAGTTCAGTAAGAAACATCAGGCAACCCCTCTGGCCGGGCATGCCACAAAACAGGTGAAAACCAAGTTACATTTAGAGCTATTTTGTGATATTGATAGGACGGCTGTAGTGCATTGACAGAATGTTTCCGAATGCCCGACTGTAATGGCCTGAGACTGGTTTAATTGTACTTGATTGTATGAGGGTTGCAAATATCAGCCTCCATTTTGTCCATAGAGGAGGTCAATGTACGACATTGGCACACACAAAAAAGGTGGCTAATCTTCCAAAAATGCCGACGTAAAAGGATTTCTTGCCGATGAGAGCAAAGAACAGCACGGGGGGCAATGAGACGCTGATATAATGCGCAAGTAGAACACCCAACTCTGCCCTTGTAGCAACTCGACGACGACCACTTTCAGACCAACGCACTCGAACGGCGCGAAATTGGTCAGGCTAAAATCTAAAACGCTATTCACCCTGAATCCGGAATGGAGAAGACAATGTACATGTTAAGAATGGTAAAACATTATGGACAATCTCAATTATCGTCATTGAGATCAAATCATCAAAGGAGCGAGTGGCAATTATAGACAGGTAACCAAAAGGTCGATATAAAACTAGCACGCGCATCCATCGTTGCTTGTCGTCTCTCTGGGGTTGATATTGACATCGATCACTGTACGAAGAGCAGTCAGTACTCGGAGAAAGCAAGCCAACAGGTGCGGAAAATAAACCCACTCTGCGACTCTCTGTTTGCTTCTCCCTCCATTCCGGGAAGGGCTTGTGCTATCCTCCTGAAAAGTTGCTTCACATTGTGGCCGACCTTGGCGCTGGTCTCAATGAACATCAGACCATTCTTCTTTGCCTCTTCTTCGCCTTGAGCTGTGGTAACTTCCCGCTTATCATTCAAATCGGTCTTGTTGCCTACTAGCACAATGATCACATCGTTGCCCCGCTCGCCCCGAACATCATCAATCCACTTCCGGGTATTTTGAAACGACTTGGCATTTGAGATATCGTAGACGACAACTGCGACGCTAGAGTCTCGAATGTAAGAAGGAATCAGAGATCGAAATCGCTCTTGACCGGCCGTATCCCAAAGCTGGAGTCGGACTGTTCTATCCTCCAGATACATCGTCTAATGCGGGAGGACGGTTAGCTAACCTGCATATCCGGTGATGTGCAATTATGAAAGTATTCTTGAACGCCGACGCAAAATGTCAGTAAAAGAGGTGCAGTCTACCTTGGACAGAAAGTCGATTCCGATTGTCGCTTGGTATGTGTTGTCAAACGAATCGTACATAAATCTGGTGATCAGAGACGTTTTCCCCACTGCGAAATAATGTTAGAAGTCACCCATATGGTGTCTTAACCCCGTGTGACCGTCTCGGAAGATTGTGCGTACCGCTCTGCTCTCCTAAAAATACCAGCCTATCGATCCGTTAGCGATTGGAACCAGAATGCAATACGCTTCCGGGCTGAAAAACACACTTGAATTTCTTCAAGGGGTTCGAATATGATCCAACCCCGGAGGAAGCCATGGTGAGTTGCGTGTGAGTATAGCGGTGACAAGAGAATAAGGGGTAGTAGAGGCAGCCGCGGTATCAATCTTTATACTTCAGCGGAGATGGAAGAGACCGAGAAGGACGCTAGGCTATGGATATGAGAGTATAAAATCAAAAAAGGTTTTTCGTGGTGACACCGATGTGGTCGCGACTAGATCAGCCGTGAGAGTCGTTCAGATGGTCGCCTGGAGAGGAGCTTGATCCATGGGTCAGTCTGGGGTACTTGAATAGCTGGTCTAAGGTATCTGGCTAAGAGCCTACCTAAGATAGTCCGCCTTTTTAGTCTCCTGCTTTGACGGGGCTGGAGTACGGTGAACCACGAGCTCCGCCGACCGACGGATTAAACTCGGTCCGAAGCACCATCACAAGCCGTCTAACCTGCCTGTTGGTGTTCCAGCAAGACGAACAAGTGCCAAACAGAGCTCCGACTTTATCACTTACCGACTATCTGCAGCTCTATTTGAGACCCCTGCAGCTTGATATTCTTATTTCGCGTTTACAGGCTGCGCGAAAGGGTTGAAGATCACCATGGTCCTCTATTATGGAGCTGGGGCTGCAACCGTGTCGCTCCTCGTCATAGGAGGGTGTAAGTACACCATGAGTCTCGCGCGGTGTCTGGATTTGCTAACACGATTATCCAGACATGCTGTTCCATGGTGACGGTGAACAGTTCAATGTATGAATTGATACCTTCATTTCCCTCCGCATGACCTGATCTCGTTGACATCTCTTAGGTTGGCCACTTCCTCGAGTCCGTTTCACCATACGCCTGGGCAAATATTGGTATTGCTTTGTGCATAGGGTTGTCTGTTGTTGGAGCAGCATGGTATGAGCCGCTATACAGCTTTGGTTCTGATAGAATTGATCCTATCAATTACTGACCTACGTCATCAGGGGTATCTTCTTAACAGGCTCTTCGATTGTCGGCGGAGGTGTCAGAGCGCCACGGATTCGGACAAAGAATCTGATCTCTATCATTTTCTGTGAAGTCGTCGCTATCTACGGAGTTATCATGGCTATTGTGTTCTCATCGAAACTCAATCTTGTCGAGGGCGACGAGATCTTTTCCGGCAGCAATTATTACACGGGTTATGCACTCTTCTGGGGAGGTATCACAGTGGGCGCATGCAATCTGATCTGTGGTATCTCTGTTGGCATCAACGGAAGTGGTGCAGCTCTGGCAGATGCTGCTGACCCGACCTTGTTCGTTCCCATTCCCTCGCATCCCACCTTCATAAGCATGGCTAATGATGTACTGTCTTCATCAACAGATTCGTCAAGATCCTCGTCATCGAGATTTTCAGCTCTGTCCTCGGTCTCTTCGGTCTTATTATCGGCCTTTTGATTAGTGGAAAAGCGACAGACTTCGGGGCTTAAGTTCGACTTCAAACAACAGTCTTCTTCGACAGAAGACTGCTCGTGAAGCGAATCTGGATTAATTATACTTGATTCACTCATACCATTTTCCCTTTCTTCTTAAATTTCTTGTTTTGTCCTTCATCTGTCTGTTATATAAAGCATCAAGGCGTCTGGATTTGGGTTGACTGTAGAGCTTCTCCGGTATGCTGAGAGCTGCATTGATGATTTAGCTGTTCGCTGTGGTGATGATGTCCGCTATGATGTACAGTAAGAGTTGTCTAGGATTAATGGCCAATCCGAATATCCGAGGCAGTGTTGTTACATTTGGCGCTTTTAAATATGTGCAATCAATGGATGATTCTCTATCGCCCATTCATGGTCCTTCGATTTGTTTGTACTTCCGCGGAGCGTGGATCCTGGCTATCTGAAGCTTTGTGGTGATATATCTCCGATCCCGCTTATCGAACTATTTAACTAACAGGTATCCCCGCACCTCCAAGAAACAACGAACTAGTCACCCATTGCAGCATTTACAAACCAAGATGGCTGACGGCAAACTCAGGGCTTCGATTCTAGTTGTTTCAGATACTGCTTCTCAGGATCCATCCACTGACAAAGTCGGCGATACTCTGACCGCTTCATTTACAGCCGAGGGGTCCAACAGCTGGGACCCTCCCGTCATCAAGATCGTGCCAGATAATGTGCTAGATATCCAACGGACAATCTGCAACTGGACAGACGGTCCAGATTGGTTTAATCTCGTTTTGATTAGCGGTGGTACAGGGTTTGCTGTCAAGGATAATACTCCTGAGGTCTGTTCTATCGCTCTTGGGGAACAAGCGAGAAGCTGATGGCTTGTATAGGCTGTATCGCCTCTCATTCATCGCCATGCGCCTGGCATTGTGTAAGCCGGCTGTCAGAGTTACTTATTACAGACTATGGATACTGACTGCACTGCTCAGACACGGCATGCTTGCCGCCTCTCTTAGAGTGACACCGTGTAAGGCTGGAAAACATCATTTTATTCAGTGCAGTAGCTCACCATTCCTTCAGTTGCAATGATGTCTCGCCCTGTTGCAGGTGTCAGAGACAAGTCGCTCTTGATTACGTTACCAGGTTCTCCAAAAGGAGCCAAGGAGAATCTTGAGGCTATCATCAAGCTCCTACCGCATGCCTGTACTCAAGCGGCCGGAGCAAACTCCAGAGCTCTCCATGCAGGTGGAGTCAAGAAGCTAGAAGCCGAAGCTGGTGTATCTTCTCAGAACCAAAGCTCAGAGAGCAAAGCACAACCGCATGACGGTCACCGCCACCATCACCATCACCATCACCACAATCATGGGGATTCTCATGGTCATGGACACGTAGTCCCAAGGGCGCATACGTCGCCGTCGGAACGACCTCAGTCTAACGACCCGAATGCCGGACCGAACCGCCGTTACCGCTCATCTCCTTACCCCATGCTCTCGGTCGACGAAGCTCTCAAACTGATCAGCCAACACACGCCAGAGCCGGTCGTCATCGAGGTTCCCGTGACCCATTCTCTTGTTGGTTCTGTTGTCGCAGAAGACGTCTACGCCGGAGAGGCAGTACCGGCCTACCGCGCCAGCATTGTCGATGGATATGCCGTTATTGCACCGGACTCGCCAACGGCTGGGCCTAGCACCAAGGGGATCTTCCCTGTGGCCTCCATCACCCACGCGAACCCAGGAGGGACGCTGTCGCCTCTTGAACCTGGTACCGTCGCCAGAATAACCACCGGCGCACCCCTCCCACCCAACGCGAACGCAGTCGTGATGGTAGAAGACACCGTTCTCGTGTCCTCCACTCCAGACGGTCAAGAAGAGGCCACCATTGAAATCCTCACAGGCGACATCAAACCTCACGAGAACGTGCGGGAACCAGGCAGTGACATCGCGCTAGGCTCCAAAATCCTTTCAAAAGGCGACCTCATCACATCCGTTGGGGGAGAAATCGGCCTTCTCGCAGCAACAGGAACCAAGACCGTCAAGGTATACAAGAAGCCCTGCGTGGGCGTACTCAGCACCGGCGACGAGCTAGTCGAACACAACGACCCAACTAAGCTCTACGGAGGCCAGATCCGCGACTCCAACCGCCCCTCGCTCCTCTCCTGCTTGTCCTCATGGGGATTCCCCACAGTAGATCTGGGAATCGCGCGCGACACACCACCCACGGAACTCGAAAACGCCCTCCGCGACGCCCTCCGCGGCGTAGGGCGGGCAAGCACCAGAGTTGACGTGATCGTCACCACAGGCGGTGTCTCAATGGGCGAGCTGGACCTGCTCAAGCCGACCATCGAGCGCTCGCTCGGCGGCACCATCCACTTCGGCCGCGTCTCAATGAAACCGGGCAAGCCGACGACGTTCGCAACGATCCCATTCAAGCCCTCGTCGACAACTGGCTCCGCGCAGCAGGAGCGCGAGTCGAAACTCATCTTCTCCCTGCCGGGGAACCCCGCTTCGGCGCTGGTGACGCTGAATCTGTTCGTGCTTCCGTCGCTGCACAAGTTGATGGGAATGGGGCAGAGCCAGACTGCGCCGGGAGTAACGCCTGCGCTGGGGCTGCCTCTTGTATCCGTCACGCTGGCGCATCCGTTCCCGCTTGATCCTAAGCGCACAGAGTACCACCGTGCCGTTGTCACTGCCTCGCGCTCCGATGGCCGGCTGTATGCTACGAGTACCGGCCTCGAGGGTGTTGGCCAGCGGAGCTCAAGAGTCGGAAGTCTTGCGAGTGCGAACGCGCTGTTGGTACTTCAGCCGGGAAGTGGGAAGGTGGACAAGGGTACTCTAGTGGAAGCTTTGATGCTCGGCAATGTGGTGCCCGAGGCGTAGACTGGTTGCGACGAATGTGCTACGAACGTGTATGGTAGTCTCGTGGCTAAGGTACAATGATACTTGGAATGAACTCAATAAAGATAAGGTTTCCTCAGCACCTCCACAAGAAGATACTTCGCTGCAATCCGCCAATATGTAGGTATCTCCGGAGAGTAGAACCCCAACGCCAATGCCAGTAACGGAATTATTATCTCTAATCTATCAAACTTTATGTATCTTCCACCCCTTCTTCTTCTCAGCCCTGAACGCAGGCAGTGTCGATTCCCTCCCCTGCTCGCGGGCTATCTCTATGACGATGAAGCGAACAAAATCTGATAGGATCCAGTAACTGCTATGTGCACTCAGCATGTTCAGATATTGAATGTTCAGTGGTCCGCCACCGCCGGAAATGAAATAGTCTATTTGGCCGTTATCGTTAAGGAGTAACATGCGTTTTTCTGCAATCTCCTCGCGTGTGAAATCATGTGTCTCCATTTCCACGTTGGAAGGGAGCTTGGCAATGGTGGCAGGACGAATAGGCGCGGAAGTAGTAGATGTGCTCCAGCGAAAGACACTGCCGAAAGACTCCCAGAAGGAGGCTGAAGTACCTGGTATTGAAGCGACCTTTAGAGAACTGGCAAGGTCAACGTCCACTGCGGCATTGACACGATATGCGATTGCTAATAGAGTCAACCATTACATTCGATTCCAATGGCAAATAAGGATGTGCTTACGGTCTGTAATATGCATGATGTTGTAGAGATTGTCAACGGCCAAACAACCATAAGTGTCTGCCTCGCCTGCAACACCACGAAGTCGATCTTCGCCTTCGTAGCCGGGCTTATCTCTACCTCGCCGTGGCAAGAGGGTTGCTGTACAGTTTGTTAGCAGGTGTCCAGTGGAACGATCTGTCTAATCCATAGATCCAAACACACCTTTATTCAAGAGCAAGAAAAAGCCGACAGGACTACCACAAAGGAAAAGATTCTTCGTATCAAACTCGAACATATCACTGTGGATGCTCGTTGTTGCGAAATCAATGTCTGGTAGCTTGGTCGGCTGATGACTGAGAATATCGATGGCCATAGCGCTTCCTAGAGAGTGCGCAATCAGGTGCACACGACCGTGCTGCTGGAACCCGGGGTTATTCTTGCACCACAGTCGAAATATTCGATTCGCTTCTTTAGCAACTGCTTGAATCATCTTCGGTTTGTGGTGTGACAAGTAGTAGGGAATGTCGAGCATGACATCACTGATCAACGATCTGACAGCTGGAATTGTCTCTGGCGTGATGTCGTCCAGCGAGAAGTGATTTGCGGTTGGATCGTCAGAAACCTCAGACTCGAGGCTGCCATCTGCCAGGGATAGCGTCGATCGCCAATTGACGGGTAGGGCCATGATCCCGCCGTGGTCCTTGCGCACATGATGCCAGACCGGCTCGTTGTTCAGCTCCATATTGATATTCCTGCGGAAGGCATTGATTGCATGCGTGAAATGGAAGCTTTCCATACGCTCCGATAGCTTCTGACCTATGCCATGGATGACCAACACCAAGTCCGTCGGAGTAGGTCGTGACCCTTCCATTGCACAGGCATAGCAGACTTGTCTACCATCCGTCCTGGACATTGCTCGGGACTGGATTCGGAGGTAATTTCTTACATCTACAGGACTGGGTTTAGATGGATGTAGCTGTTCCCATGAGCGACGGCTGAAGCCGCGGACCACGGGTATTCCAATGTGTCGCCCTTTGCGAATCGAACTGAGAGGTCGCCTCCCTCTTGAAACTGAAGGAAGCAAGCTGGGTCTGAGAATTTGAGCATTCCTACCATCGACATATATGACACTGGAATTCAAAAAGGGTTTGGCGGCTTCGGTATGTACGGTCGTCCCGCCAGCAGCTCGATTTTCTTCGAACGTCGGCGAGTCAGAATCCGGAGCGGCATTTCCTACCTGGGCGCTAGATCCAGGGCGTGAAGTAGGTGTGCTGTAGGATTTCGTATCGGGTTTCGACCACAGTTTGTGCACGATTTTCATTTCCGCGTCAGCTCCGTTCTCAACACAGCTGTTGAGTTCATCCTGCCATGTATCTGTCCAGGGTTTCAGATAAATGTAACCATCCTCGAGCTTGTTGGCGAGCTCCGTTTCTACTGGAAGCATTGTGTTTTTGTAAAACCAAGTAGCACGCAG